ATCCTGTAGCTGCTGTGTGATTGCACACAGGATGATCTGCTCCATAACTCTGCCAGGCACCGAGGTCAGGCTGACAGGCCTGTAGTTACCAGGGTCAGCCTTGCAGACTTTTTTATGGATTGGAGTGATATTTGCCAACTTCCAATCATCCGGGACCTCCCCAGTGAGGCAGGACTGTTGGAAGATGATGGAGAGCGGCTTGGCAAGCTCTTCTGCCAGCTTCCTCATTACCCTAGGATGGATCCCGTCTGGTCCCATAGACTTGTGAGGATCCAGATGATTCAATAAGTCACCAACTATTTCCTCCTGGAATACAAGGGGGCTATTTGGTTTCCTATCTCTGTCTACGAGCTCCAGAGGCCAGTTGCCTTGAGGGCCACCTGTCTTACTGGTAAAAACTGAGGCAAAGTAGGTGTTAAGTACCTCAGCCTTCTCCTCATCTCTATTAACTATGTTTTCCTCCAAGTCCATCAAAGAATGGAGGTTTTCTTTGCCCCTCCTTCTGTTATTAATGTATTTATAGAAGAACTTTTTGTTATCCCTAACAGAAGTGGCCAATTTAACTTCGAATTGCATTTTTGCATCCCTGATTTTCCTTCTGCATGATCTAGCTGTCTTCCTGAATTCTTTGTAAGTAGCCAGCCCTTTCTTCCATAGTTTATAAACTCTGATTTTATCCCTGATTTCCTTCAGAATCTCCCTGTTTAACCAAGCTAGTTGTCTTCCCCGCCGGCTTCCCTTTTGGCACACTGGTATAGCCTGTTCCTGTGCTCTCAAAACTTCCTGCTTGAAGCACATCCATCCCTCCTGAACCCCCTTGTTTTTAAGGGTTGTTTCCCAGGGTGTGCTCTGGACTAGACTTCTGAATAGGTCAAAATCTGCCCTCCGGAAGTCCAGTGTAGAGGTTTTATTGTTGGCTCTCCTTTAATCTCTGAGTATTGAAAATTCTATTATTTCATGGTCACTATTTCCCAGGTGGCCTTCAACCACTACATCTCCCACCAGCCCCTCTCTGTTTGTAAACAGCAGGTCTAGCGGGGCCTTACCCCTGGTAGGTTCATTTACCAGTTGATGAAGGAAATTGTCCTCTATACACTCAAGAAAATTCCTAGACTGCCTCTTCTCTGCAGTATTGAGCTCCCAGCAGATATCCGGCAGGTTAAAGTCACCCACAAGGACAAGGGCTGACAATTTCGAGACATCCGCCAGCTGCTTATAGAATAATTCATCCCCTTCATCATCCTGGTAGGGCGGTCTGTAACATGACCATTATTAGAATTATTCTCCGCTTTTTATTAAGTTTCAGAATATAATCTAACCTATTATTTACATTAAATTTCAATTGGTATCTCCTATCTACCTCCCTTTTAATTACTGTAAACATGGTTCAAATCTGATTTCCTTTTATGACAAGGCAACCCACCTAGTTGATCAAGTACAGACTGTTAATGTAATCTTTTTGGATTTCGGAAAAGATTTTGATGTTGTCTCTCCTAGTATCCTTCTGGGCAAAATGTCCAGAACACTGCTGGCACATGACAGTTGAGCAGCTGGTTCACAGGTTGGGCACACAGGGTTGTAGTGCATGGGGTAACATAAGGCTTGTGACTGGTCACTAGTGGGGTTCTGCAGGACCCCATCTTAGGCCCTGTGCTCTTCAACATTGTTGTAAACAACTTCTATGCAAGGCTCAAAAGGACACTAAATGATGTTACAAAAATGAGAACTGTTGATTACCTCAAAGACAGAGAGGCCCTGCAGAGACACGTTGACAAATTAGAGAGATGGACAATCATCAACCTTATGAATTTTAAAGGGCAAGTGCCGGATTCTGCACCTGGGATGGAGCAACCCTGGTTGTGCGTATATACTGAGGAATGAGATGATGGAAAGCAGCACTGTGGAAAGGGACCTGGGGGTCCTGGTTGATGGCAAGTTGAATATGAGTCAGCAGTGCCCTGGCAGCCAGGAGGGCCAACTGTGTCCAGGGGGGCATCAGGCAAAGCATCACGAGCTGGTCCAGGGAGGGAATTGTCCCACTCTGCTCTGCACTGGGGCGGCCTCACCTGGAATATTGTGTGTAGCTTAGGGCACCAAAATATGTAAAAATATATTGAGCTGTTAGAGAGTGACCAAAGGAGGACAATGAAGATGGTGAAGGACCTCGAGGGAAAACTGTATGAGGAACACCTGAGGGTACTTGGTCTGTTCAGCCTGGAAGAGACTGAGGGGAGACCATTCCCAGTCTACAACTTCCTCACAAGGGGTAGACACTGTTTTGACCAGTGACAGGACCCCAGGGAATGGCCTGAAGTTGTGTCAGGGGAGATTTAGAGTAGGTACTTCACCCAGAGGGTGTTTGTGCACTGGAACAGGCTCCCCAGGGAGGTGGTCACAGTGCCAAGCCTGACGCAGTTCAAGAAGTTTTTGGACAATGCTCTCAGGCACATGGTGGGATTGTTGGGGCTGTCCTGTGCAAGGCCAGGAGTTGGACTTTGATGATCCTTGTGCGTCCCTTCCAGCTCAGAAGATTCTGTGATTCTGTAGTAATACAAATTTTGCAACCTTTTAAAATGCAAGTTGTTTTCTCTTTTCTGTGTTTAACAACAAGTAGAGGTACAGAAAAGGAAGATAAAATAGTGAGAGTCCTAATCTAGGAAAGTACAAAAAATTAATTAATTTAGCTTTAGCGGTTTGTTTTTATATCCAAGATTAATGGACATCTGCCACAAATTGTTGTCTGTTCATGCCTTCCTTTCAAATGTTAAAATGAGGATAAAATGTTTTCCTCTCTGACAAGATAGATCTATTCCTATTCATGGGATTCTGAGATACCATTGTGATGAATGCCATGAGAAACTAATAATTCCGAGTGCAGCATAAGCTTGGGAAGATTTGCACTAAATAAAGGAGTGGCCAGAAATTGAATGAGCAGGGCTGAACAACTGCCCTTTCTGTTAGCGCTCATCCAGCCCATGCACTAAATGAGGCAGGGATCCTGTGGAAAAAAGTAAGGAGCTGTCATGTAATTATAGACTGGGCACACAGATAATGATGAATCCACACAAGGAGTCAGAACTAAGGCCGTGCAAATACAAGCAGATTTATTGCCTCTCCTACCATTTCAGTTCTTCACACTACATGCAAAAGCTTTTCCATGTAGGATGGTCTAGGGCTGCTGAAGAGAAGACATAAGGGTACCCTTTTATGGGTCCATTAGTCTCCTCAGAAGTTGTCTTATTTGACATAATATATACTCACACACACCAAGGCACACATGCATATGCAAACGTGCTTATGCTTGTGTCTGTTATAAAGTAATGTAGTGTTAAGAGGTAATCTAAATAATACAGAGAATCTGTGTTCCTCCACTGAATTTCCTTCCCCTTACTAAAGGATTGATCTTCCCAGTTGAGACAGATTATGCAAAAGGATCACACATAGAGGAAGGTTTTGTTACTACTGTGGGAGGAGTAGCCAGGGGATTTGCAATTATGTGGATCGAGAATATAAACCTCTTACACAGGAATGTGCAGGAGATCAGCTGCATTCCTGCACTCCAGAGCCTGTGGTAACAGTAGAGAAATGCTATAAAGCTACTGAATTAGAGAAGTCTTTTTTGCCCTCCCCGTTTTGGTTTTGCTTAGCTTGTTTACTGGGACAGCATAGAGGTACAACACAGATGGAAACCAGCTCTGTTTACCTTAACTGGGGTGTTCATGCTGAAGCATAATTTTTATGTCAATATTTTCATGTTTTCACTGCTGAATGTTTTAGCAGGCACAGCCAAATACTCCAGAATTATAGATTGAATTTGGAGAAGGAAAAATATCACATGAACAGCCTTCCTCTTCTTTCTTTATGACTTTTAAAAGATGATAGAATAAATTACAGGTGAGAAACCCGAGAATATAGACTGCCTAGGTATAGATTTTCCTGTCTGGTAGATTTTCTCCTTAAATTTCACTTTCTGGGTAGCAATTATTGACAAACACCATGTTGTATTTGTGCTACCTTTACAACAATAAGAATGTTGATTTTCATTCTGTTACCTGCTCAGTGATAATTTTCAGAAGCTATTATGCAGCTAGTGTTGTTCTACTTGACAGAAGATTGTGTACTCACATTTCTTGTCAGAAAAAAAAGCATACTTTTATTCATAGGAATTTTAGAAGGAAGAAAAAATTGCATCCAGTGAATGGCATATTCTATTTTACATGGAAGAAAAAGCTTACAATGCCACTAATTTTTCAATTAGTATTACCTTATAAATACATTTCAACACCCTTCAACAATCATGTTTTATTTGATCTGGGCACAAAATCCTAGCTTAATATATCTTTTATTAAATGATTATTTATTTGATTTAATGTATCATATAACCAATTTAGTCAGTATTATCAATACAGAAGCTCAATGCCTACAACACATCAATGCTAAGAACAGGGAAAAACTATTCAAAATTTATTTCTGAAAAATCTAAAGAAGAATAAAATTCACTTCTTTTTCAGGAGGACAGAATAATTTTTGTTTTACTGAAGGCCATTAATACAAGATGTTTAAAAGGAAAATTCTTTTGTTGGTCTTACCACAACACATGACGTTCTGCTATCAGTTAAAAACAGAACAAGACTGGCCATGCTTACTAGAATTTAATACAAACTCTTTTTGAAACAATTAACTGTATAAAGCATGAAACTACGTATTGCTAACTGCCACATAGTTGTTTATTTCTCATATCTGCCTGCCTTCTCAGTTCTTTGGCGTATCACTAACTTGTTGCAGATACCCTCTTAAAGGCCCCCGAAAAATAAAGTGTCACTAGCAGTGACACAGTCAATTAGGCTGACACGTTCATTGCATTTAATGTGCAGAGTCATATTTTGTATCTGGGTGTTGCTGCTGATGCTTACACATGAAATTGGTATTTTTATGCCTGGATGCTGGTTAAAAAGCAAATATAAAAGGGGAAAGTCAAGTTCGTGTATAGCTTTTCAGTATTTTATCAGTATGTTTAAATACAGTACAAAAGTAGTCTCTAGGTTATTATCTCCACAGTTAATTTTTTTTTTATATCCCCATATCCCTCCTCTGAGATGCATTTGAAATGTATTTAATTGTATTTAAGCCATCAATAATGGGAATTTTAATGGCTCAGATAAATGCAATGCAATGCAATGCAATGTAGTTCAAAGCAGTGCAGGACTAAAGGCTGAACTCCTAAGAAAAGTTAATTCTGCATTTACAGGGGTGTAAATTAGGCTTCCACAAGCAGGAGTCCAAACTAGAGGTGATCTTCATTTAAGTTGTTAGTTCAACAGAATCATGGATCTGAGTTGTTATCATAGATAGATCATATTTCTGAAATGGAAAACAATGCAAAAAATATTAGTATTGTGTAGCATTTTGACTCAAGGAGAAAATTATTAATTGTAATTGAATATAGCTACGGTATTCTTTGAAATGTTCAACATACCCTCAAAAACGTTGTCATATATCTCTTCATCGCAGTAAGTTAAAAAAAAAAGAAAAACAATACATTTAAAAATCGAAACATCAGATATAAATTACTATTTGCATGCAGATAAGAAATAGAGTAGCAGTATGGCAGACAAGCTATCAAATAATTAATTTGCTAATTAGGAAAATGCAACCTTTTTGGTAATAGAACAGTATTTAGCAAGATGGTCAGGTCAGAGGATTTTCAGCAAAGGGTTGACCTGGATACATTTCTTTCTAATATGAAAGGCTGGCTTTTTTAAAAGGTTAGAATTTTTCAATTACATTTTTAAGCAACTATTCTCATAGACGTATTTCCTTAAAAAAAATTAAATACTTCCTTGTTTTTTTTTAAATGAACACCAGAAATAATGAATAAAAAAACCCAGTATGACCTTGAAATTCATTTTGTTTCTGTACTTGGCAATGCCATAATAATTTTGGAGGTGCTGCTTTTTAGGTAATGAATTTAGGTAATGCCTATAAAAGATACATGCTTCATGGAAGGATATTTTCAAAATATTTCACTTAGATATGGGAAGAAGCCCCTGGAAGACAATAAGGCTTTGTATATGTATATATTTATATACATACACAAATATATTTATGTATATATATTAAAAATTCAAATGTGTGTGTGTTTAGATGCCTCTACATTCTAAATGTGACAATTCTAAATATGACATCTCATTTGATATTTAAGGGTCTAATAAAAAGCCTGTTGAAGGAAATGGAAAGGCTTTGTCTGTCAAGAGTTTGGGAGTAGAACCGAAATGCTGAACTCCATGCAATTATTTGGAGCAAGACTGGGCCAAATCTGCTCAATCCAGGTAATACTGAAACAAAATTAAACCTAAAGAAAATCTGGTGGATTTTAGTTAAACATTTGAAAAGGATGTCAATACACCTAATCACATTAACTTGCAGTTCATTAATAGATTCTAATACTAATAATGTTTAATTTATGTAATTTTTCATGGTTTAATTAAAGTTTATGGTTATGCAATGAGAAATGAGGCTCTGGCAAATTTCCAGCATGGATGTATGTGATTAATTCTTGAGAAATAATAACTTCATAAAAAACCCCTCAATTTTCAGGACTAGAATGACAGACTAAAATAATTCCATTTCACTTTTTTTTTTTTTTTTAACAGACAGCTTAAAAGAAATTGAGTGTTATAGAAAATTTTTCAAAAAGATCACTTTGTACTTACTTTTGAACTAAATTGCTTCTCAAGACATAACCATCTGTAAAAATAAAACATATATGCATTTAACTTAAATACTCATGTTATTATTTCTGTTATTAGCACTAGTGAAATGCCTTTTTTCTCTTTTATATACATCCAACAGAAAGACAAAATAGATGGATAAGAATGTACAATGAACACTTACTTGATGAAGTTTTTACTATGTCCAGTGTTTTAGTTATTCTTATAATTCTTTATAAATTCTATTTAGTGTAACACAGCGTCCTATACAGGAAATCAGAATGCTATAGTAGCTGTAAGACCAGTTAGGTATCTACCATTCTGGATACTTTGCATATTCATAAAATGTTGTTTATCTTGTTTCTTCCTTCACAAAATTTTTTTTTTCTGATATGTAAGATATGAAAGTAATTTTTTTTAATGCATAGTGATGTCCAGCTAGAGAATCCCATATTTTTTGTTAAGCCTTTTTGACATCCAAGCCCTAACTCTATTCTATCTGAAATTGTCCTTTCTAAGATCTGTAAATATACTAGTAGAGGGAACCATCTCTTATAAATGTATGTCACACATAATAAGCTAGTACTGTTCCCAAAAGCTGATAAATATATAATATATAAAAATATCCTATTTTGATATTTTTGACCAGTGTTTTGATATATAAAAATATGCTATGGTTCTTATATAAAATATTGTAAAAGCTATCCAAAAAGACTAATATCCCAAACAGTCCTGCAAGTAGTAAAAACTTTTATTTAACAAGTTTTTTGTTTGTGTTTTTTTAAGGCAAGCTCCTTTTAAAACACCATAATAGGCAGCTTTTCTTCATAAACAAACATTTGTATCATTCACTTTGACTTGACATATTTCTGTCTTAAAATAGGTAGGTATCAGATGTTATATAGATCTCAAAAGTAAATAAGTTTTTTTTCCCCTGAATATGCTACATGCAGTAGATTGTGATTTGAACTGTACAGGCCATAATACATTTAAAAACATGAGATTTTAAAAGAAAACTTCTATCTTGTGCTAGAGCTGAAGTTGCCTAAAAAGGCACTAATTTCATGTGTTAATATTTTATTTTACTCTTACCTGCATTAGCTACTGCTTAAGACTTATCAATTACATGAACTAAAAAATAGTTCTGTGCATTTAATATTTGATTACTGCTATATAAGATAAAATTTGCTTGATTTGCCCATATTTCTATCTTCAGGGTCATGAAGATTTGATACATACATAAATTCTCCTATAACATTTGCCTGCTGAAAGTGTTGACTGCAAGAAATCTTCAAAAGTCAAGGAACCCAGTACTCCAGATTTTAAGTCACCTGTGTATTGTCTAAGGCTGAATGCCAGCTGGAACGTATGAAGCTCTGTCTAACCAGAATTTTGCTAGCATGGTTGTCCTTCCCCAGATTTTATTATCTGGGATAAAGTAATGGAAATTGATTTTTTTTTTTTTTTTTTAAAGATGTCATCTTTTTAAAGTTCTCTTTAGGACAGTCCAGTAATTTCCAAGACTCCTGAAGTCTCCATGGAGTAATTTAAAATCATTTGGCTAAATCATTCTAATCTTCTGAAATACATGGAAGCAAAACTTCTCCACTCACCATCATGGCATATAAACCCAGTGTGCTCGCAAGTCATGTGCATGTGACAGTGCTTAGGTCATGGCAAAGCATAATCTAAGGTCTTCTGATGGTCCCTGGCCCTCAAATAGGTGAGAAATACGGCTCCTGCTGATCTCACAGTCTTTCAGAGTTACTAATCCAAAGTTACATGTCCAAAGTTTCAGTTTCTAACTAATTCATTGATTTTTATGGGGCTCCCAAATAGGGAATAAGCTAGCAGGTCAGCAACCTCTGTATAAATAACTTCACCCCACTGAAAGCTATGACATATTGTGCCAGCTGCTCATTTGCATCATAAAGGAAGCTCAGAGAGGAAAAAAAACTTTCAGGCACTGAAATTCATTTATATCCTAATGTTTAAGCAAAATCTATGAACTGAATTGAAAGTTTTTGTGTATTTAAAGATGTATGTGTTCAGACCAAGAAGGAATTTAAAAGAGTAAATAAAAATCAGTTCTTTATTTCACTTTTGACATTTCAAATAATTTAATAACAAAATAAGTGATAGAAGAATATGTTCCTAAGATCACTAGGCCTAGTGTGTAAACACATTGCAATATAATTTGTAATTTTAACTGTTAGAAGAGACTTGAAGCTGTGAAGTGCTTCAGAAGTTAATGATTAAATCAAAGAATTCATGTGCAAGAAAGTAACAAAACCATCTCTAATTGCTGATTTTCAGTCTATCTGGCCTTCTGAAGGTAAAATCATAGCTTTAAGATCTGAGGAACTTGATCAACCACAGCAAATAACCAAAACTGTCATGCGTTTACTGAAGTAGAATTCAAACTTCATTAACTAATGTGGAAATTGACAGAGATCTCTACAGAGGTTTTCAGGGAGGATATTTTTATTTGTTTTGCTCTTTTATGCATAGCAAAGCAGTAGCTCCTGTCATTATCTGAAAGGCTTTGAAGACTATGAGACAAAAACAGCCAGCATGAACTACTTTCTACTTTGTTATTAGCTTGGTTCAAAAAATGCAGCTTTGAAAGCTGTTTTTTGGGAAGTGGCTCTATCAGTGAAATCCATATTTTGAAAAACATATGTGTGTTATGCAAGAAATTCTTGCTCACCCTGCAGGCCTACCAGGAAGAAGGCTGTACTCCAGACTGTAAGAGTAGAGTATAGAGGGTAAAAAAATAGCAGGAAAGTGCTTGAATCCCTTTCAGAGGTTTATAGCATTAGACTCTCTTCTACATAGGTCAGAGATAAAAAGTAAAGCTGAGAGGGAAAATACTGCTTGTTCAAAGGATACTCTAGACTGTTCCAGCACAAAATGAATTTTCATTAGGAGATTTGAAAAGTATTGTAACAGAAGTTCATTAATTGAAATTGAAATTCAAATTGAAACCATCAGGAGATGGTCTGGAATTTTCCAAAAATGCAAAAACTTCTGCCAATGTGTAGTGGTTTTGAGTCTAGGCCTTCCTTGGTGACCAGATTGTAACCAAGGAACCAAGGCCATGTTCCCAGTATTCCGTACAATTTTTACATAAGCAAGGGTAAAAAATAAGTAGGGAGAGAAAGCTCTTACTCTCTTTCTTCCGGCAGAAGGTTCTTTGCTATCATTCTGCCTGGTGAAGGAGTGAGGCCTGGTGCACCTGGTTGGCCTTGAGAAGCGGATAGTGCCAGCAGTTTGGTGCAGTTCACTGCTATCTTGAAGAAAGTATTTGTTTTTTGTCCCTTTTTCCCTTTCCTTTTCTTTTTCCCTTTTGGGGGGTTCCCTGTGGGTGATATCTTGTATATAATTCTATGTATATATATAAATGTATGTTACTTGGAATTTGGTTTGGGTTCTTTTGATTTTGTACAGTCTTTTCAGTCTGTCCGAGGAGAGGGAAAGGGAGGGGGAAGGTTTTTTCTCTGTGGTCCAGGCACTTGGCTGCAAGCCACGTCCAACCTGGGACATTTTTTGGAGGTCCCACCGGGATCAGAGTGGGTTGTTTTGGTAACAATTCTTGGGCAGGTGGCCAAGTTCTTCCCAAGCATAGACTTTGTTTGGGAACAGTGCTGGGAGAGCTGCCAAGGGGGGTTTGTTTATATAAATACACCTTTTGTTTAGGAACAGTGAAAACAACCATATAAATAATGGCCACTTTCTTAATTCTCAATGTAATTTTAGCAGCCCTCACACCTGTTCTGGGCTACTTCATGTGGAAACATCTAGATCCAGTGGTGTTCAAATGGCGAGACATTTGGGACAGGTATTCCTCCTTCCCTGACATTAAACACTGGATGATGGAGATTCCCAAACTGACTGTTGCCTCTAATTATTATCTGAATTGTGTTATGCTCTTAATGATGAAGGTAATGGACATATTATTTAGAATTAGAAGGATTGTGTTGTGCTGGTTTCCTTGTTATAGGAAAGGTCGAACCTCAAAGGGATTATCTGGAGCTTTGGAAAGGGGCTTGGAAAGGGCAGTTCCTGGTTGGCAAGGAGCATGGGAAGAGTTTGGTAAATGGATAGGGTGTGTGGCACCTCCCATGACTTGAGACTTCACACCAGAACAGGTGTTTGATCCTAGTGAGATAACCCGTCATTTAATGGAGGGTTGTCTTTCAAATGAGGATCCAAATACACAAATCTCTGCTCTGTGCTGGGGCCTATCTGGTGCTTATCAAGCTGCCATAGACCATGCTCAGAAGGCTAAGGCTGAGACACAAACTATGCCACTTGGAATCAGTGATGTTTCTATGGAGTCCACCAAAATCGGAGTCCAGATGCCACTTGAAACCAACGCTGCTTTTAATGAGTCGCTAAGTGTAAGACTAAGGCACAACCTAAAGCCAGCACAGCTTCTGTCAAACCCACTGACATTAGAGTTCCAATTATGGACTTTATGAACATGGGAACTCACATGACAACATCTACAGCCAACGCTATGACTGAGACTGGGGCCCATACCACAAACTTTGAAAACACTATTGCCCCATAAAAAAAAGGTGTGGATAAGGGAGCATGCAGGGCCCACAAGCCTAGTTCTACGATTGAGGTGTGTAACTGAAGAAGAAGAAGAAGAAGAAGAAGAAGAAGAAGGAGAAGGAGAAGGAGAAGGAGAAGGAGAAGGAGAAGGAGAAGGAGAAGGAGAAGGAGAAGGAGAAGGAGAAGGAGAAGGAGAAGGAGAAGGAGAAGGAGAAGGAGCAAAGGGACCAAGAATTCCCCTTCATAGCAAGTTCATCCCACGCTAGTATCGACTGAAGGAAGAGGGGACAGCTGCAACAGACGAAGAAGTAGACATGAGAGAAGGACCACGTCCCAAAGAATTAGGAGCATGTCCAAAAGAGAAGGGGACATGTGCAAAGGAAGAAGGGGCAGCAGCACAGATGGCTGATAAAACACAAAAACCACCAGAGAGAATGTTGACACCCAACTACACCCTTCTTGACTGTTCAACGGAGGAGATGGAAGACTATCTGAGATCCTCATCCCAGGGTCTGGAGGACTATTCGTTACCTCCACCTGTGAGAAGCCTATGCTGGCACTGTGCTCGGTCTCCACCTCCATGTGAGAGAGGCAGAGAGAGAGTGGAAACAGTTCCGCATAGATACATCAAAAGAGAAGTGGAAATGGATAGGAGGGACCTCCATCCTGAGGTGGGAGTTGTGGGAATGTCTGAAGTATTATGATCATTGACCCCAGCAGAGCTCTGGGATTTAAGAAAAGATTATAGTCACTGGCCTGGTGAATGGATTCTAACCTGACTGGTATGATGCTGGGATAATGGAGCTAGAAGCTGGAAGGTCACGAAGCACAGCAGTTGGGATCCCTGGCTCGAGACCGTGAGATCAAATAAGGAATTGCAAGCGAGCCATATAATCATAGTCTCTGGCTCTGGATCCTTAATGCTGTGAGAGAGAGAGATCCATTGAAAGAATATTTAACGAGTTCTCCAGGAAAGGGGATGACTGCAATACCTACGGGAATTGGCCATGCTTGAACTTATCTATTGTAATCTGGACTATTACAATATTTTAGACCCCGTGAATCTCCTATGTACAAATCCAGTGTGGAGAAAAGTGATTAAAGGTGCCCCTGCACCATACATCAACTGCTTGATCTCACTATTCCATCCAAGGGCGGATGAACCCGATGTAGAAACCATGTGTCAATGGATACAGAGCATAGTGGAGAATTTGGAAGATCTCTCTGATGTCCGACATCAACCCACCTGCTCTAGGGAAAGAATGGAGAGAGATCATGAATATTCCAGATGTGAGGATGACTATGAAGATAGAGATGACAGAGATTACCGAGACTACAGAGACAGACCAGTAAAGCAGTCTAGATCACAAGCTCAATCTTGATCTTGGTCCAGATCTTAGTCAAGAGCTCCTCCCCTTACACGATGCTGTGATCCCCATTCATAAGATGATCTGGAAGTTGGAGAGTCAAGGGGTGGTCAGTAGAACACACTCACCCTTCAACAGCCCCATTTGGCCTGTACGCAAGTCTGATGGAGAATGGAGACTGACTGTAGACTATTGTGGCTTGAATGAAGTCACGCCGCCATTGAGTGCTGCTGTGCCAGACATGCTGAAGGTCCAGTATGAGCTGGAGTCCAAGGCAGCGAGGTGGTGCACCACTACTAACATTGCAAATGTGTTTTTCTTCATTTCCTTGGCAGCAGAGTACAGGCTGCAGTTTGCTTTCATGTGGAGGGGCATGCAATACACCTGGAATTGACTGCCCCAGGGATGGAAACACAGTCTTGGCATCTGTCATAGGTTGATTCAGGTTGTACTGGAGAAGGGTGAGGCCCCAAAGCACATAACAAAACATACTGACGACATCATCGTGTGGGGGTACACAGCAAAGGAAGTTTTCGAGAAAGATTCTCCTCAAAGTCAGTTTCGCCATCAAGAAGAGTAAGGTCAAGGAACCTGTCAGAGAGATCCAGTTCCTAGGGGTGAAATGGCAAGATGGAAGGCACCAGATTTCAACCGACGTCATCGATAAAATCGTAGCAATGGCTCCACCAACAAACAAAAAAGGGACCCAAGCTTTTCTGGGAGCCATAGGCTTCTGGAAGATGCACATCCCCAGGTACAGCCAAATTGTAAGCCCACTTTACTTGGTGACCCATAAAAAGAACAATTTCCAATGGGGTCCCGAACAACAGCAGGCTTTCAGGCAGATCAATCAAGAGATTGCATATGCCGTGGCTCTTGGACCAGTCAGGACAGGACCAGATGTAAAGAATGTACTTTACTCTGCAGCTGGAGATAATGGTCCCTCCTGGAGCCTTTGGCAAAAGGTGCCTGGTGAAACACGAGGGCAACCACTGCCAGATGAAGAGATGTGTTATGCCCTTTTCACTGACGGTTCTTTTTGTATTATAGGATGGAACCAGAAACGGAAAGCAGACATTTGGAGTCCCACCCAATGAGTGGCAGAGGCCACTGAAGGTAAAGGCGAATTGAATCAGTTTGCGGAACTCATAGCCGTGCAATTGGCCCTGGACATCACAGAAAGAGAAAGATGACCAAGGCTCTACCTCTACACTGACTCATGGATGACAGCCAATGCCCTCTGGAGATGGCTAGAATGATGGAAGAAGATGAGTTGGAAGTGTAGAGGAAGACCCATCTGGGCTGCTGATTTGTGGCAGGACATCGCTTCTAGAGTAAAGAAACTGGATGTGAGTCCGCCATGTAGATGCCCATGTACCCAAAAGTCGAGCCAATGAAGAACATCATAACAACAGACAAGTGGATCAAGCTGCACAAATTGAGGTGTCACAAGTAGACCTGAATGGGCAACATAAGGGAGAGTTGTTCAGCTCAATGGGCCCATGATGCTTCAGGCCATCAGGGCCGAGATGCCACCTATAGATGGGCATGAGAATGAGGGGTGGATTTAACCATGGACACTATTTCCCAGGTTATCCATCACTGTGAAACCTGTGCTGCTATTAAGCAGGCAAGAAGATTGAAGCCCCTGTGGTATGGTGGATGCTGGGACAAATATAAATATGGAGAAGCATGGCAGGTTGATTACATCATGTTGCCACGAGACCTCAAAGGTAAACACTATGTGCTTACAATGGTGGAAGCAACCACTGGATGGTTGGAGACTTATTCAGTGCCCCATGCAACAGCCCGGAATACCATTCTGGGTCTGGAAAAGCAGGTCCTGTGGAGACATGGCACTCCAGAGCGAATTGAGTCGGACAGTGGGACTCATTTCAAGAATAATCTAGTGGCCACTTGGGCACGGAAGCATGGTATTGAATGGGTGTATCACATTCCATATCATGCACCCACTGCTGGAAAAGTTGAAAGGTATAATGGGCTGTTAAAAACAACTCTAAAGGCAGTATGTGGGGGAACTTTCAAGGACTGGGATAAGCACTCAGCCAAGGCCACCGGGTTAATACTAGAGGCTCTGTCAACCTAGTTAATACTAGAGGCTCTGTCAACGAAGCTGGCCTGGCCCAAGCAGAATCCCTCCACACTGTAGATGGAGACAAAGTTCCAGTGATTCACCTAAAGATGTAAGTTGGGTAAAGCTGTTTGGGTTGCCCCTACCTTAGGCCAAGACAAACCCATTCGTGGAGTTGTCTTCACTCAAGGGCCAGGTTATACCTGGTGGGTGATGAGGAAGGATGGAAAGATCCAGTGTGTGCCTCAAGGAAATTTATCACTGGGGAAAAACTAATTCTGTGCTTCAAGTTGTGTTTTACAGGAGACCAGTCACCAAATGAAAGAGACCTGACCAAAGCTGATACCGGTATCTGATGATGAGACAGCAAACCAGCCCTAAACCAGAACTGTGATTGTGACCAAGAAAGAGACAAAGATCCAAACTGAACTGAGGTTGTGTTAGTGTGGATCTGCGACAATAAGATGTCTGCTTTGAAAGATTAAATAAAGATTTTATATATATGTATATATGTGGGATATAGGCAAATGCGAGATGTGTTACATAAAAATAGTATGGAATAAGGGGTGGAGAATGTAGTGGTTTTGAGTGTAAGCCTTCCTTGGTAACCAGGCTGTAACCAAGGAACCAAGGCCATGTTCCCAGTATTCCATACACTTTGTATGTAAGCAAGGGTATAAATAAGAAGGGAGAGGAAGCTCTCGCCCTCTTTTTTCCAGCGGACTGAAAGTGAAGGTTCTTTGCTATCATTCTGCCTGGTAAAGGAGTGAGGCCTGGTGTGCCTGATTGGCCTTGAGAAGCAGATAGTGCTGGCAGTTGTTGGTGGGGTTCTCTGCTATCTTGAAGAAAGCAATTTTCCCCCCACCTGTTGAAAAGATTAAACTGCATCTCTTGCAACCAAAAGTAAGAGCATTGTTACTGATTTTCTCTTGGCTGCAATCAATGGGCAAGTGCTATCCAAAGGTGCAGCAAGGACCTACTTTACTCTGTGGGGGATCATAGCTATACTCCTTCTGACAAAGAAGGAGAGACAGAAGCAACAGACACATCTGCTGATCCTCGTTGATACAATGTAAAATTTACATAATGAAGTTGCCTATTTTTCTCATATTTGGTATGTTTTGTTCCTTGGAGTGTTTTAGGTTTTTTTGAGGCAATCTGCTCTTAAAACACAGCAATGAAATAAAAACAGTCTGCCTCTTGTCAACTACCAGACAAGGTAAAAGACAAGTACTAGGTTCTACTTGGATATGTTAGGGAAGAGAGGTTTCACACATTCCAACTCAATCATTTTCTGATAATTTGATATATACTGCAGTTTTTTCATAAAGCTTACATTTTCCCTCTTTGTTACGGCACAGGACTTTGGTGTCATCTGTACTCTCTATAATATCAAGAGACTCTCCCGGTTTAATATGTAATTCTTTAGATCCCCATTTTCTTTTAGGCAAATTCTGAATTGTGGTAGTAGAGAAAAGAACTTTTATTTCACCTACATGCTGGAAAAAAAAAAAAGCTGGTTAAAACCCATTTATGTACAGCTTGTGCTCATGCATTTTTTACTAAATTTTCTAAAATGAGGCAAATAATTGTATATGCTGTATAGTATGTGCCCATGCTTGCAGATGCTCAGACCACTATTATTACAAGTAGTAACACTTTATCTTTCAAAGGATAAAGGGACACAAATTAAAGCACATCATATAGATATTTTAGTTTTAGTATTTTATGGAAAAAAAGCTTACTTTGAACAAAACTTACTTTGAATTGTTTCTCTTCTTTTTCCATCTTCTTATGCTTTTGTACATCTTCTTCATCCAATTTCCTTTTTCCAAAGCTTTCTAGATTCAATGAACTAAACCAAGAGGTTACAGATAAAACCAAATCAGCAACAAATCTGAGGTATTGGTAAGCCTTCTGATAATTTTGGTGAAAATGCATTTTCTTTCATGTGTCTTTATCATGTTTTTGTTGCTCTGCAAAACTAGTGCGGGTAATACAGTACAGATTTTATTTCAGAATTAATAAAAAGCTGGGGTTGTCTTTCCTGTTTTTCTCTGATGTTAATATATCTATCACAAAAATGAATATTGAAGTATTAAGTATCTATCTGTCTATCTGCTACAGCACTTTAGAATTTCTCAGCAAGGAGCAATTTTTATGAAGTCTGTGTGTCTTTGGGCAATAAGTTGAATAAGACATGTCTCACTGCAGAGGCAGCTGGAACATCTTACAAATGTTAACAGCCTTACATATGTTAGTCCTATATGGCCATAAAAACCCTTGCTGCACCAGGGAATCTGTATTACATTACCCATTTCAAGTTTTGTTGGGTTTTTTTTCACATCCCTGATAGTGTTGACTTCTGCCAAGCAGCATGGAAGTGTTTCATGCCCTGTCTGACTGTCCTTTCTGATACTGCCCCTGGGACTGTAAAGACTGATTCTCCTTTTTGATCTTTCTGATCTCTGTAGAAGTTGTGGATGACAGTTTCATTGGTGATGAATGTTTGAGTGTGTGTGAACTAACCTAGACTTAGGTTAGAAGGACTACATGTTTTCCTTTGGATACACAGTCCAAAGAGCTTTCTCTGTTTTAGTATCTCCAGACTAGATTGTCGTAGGGTACTCTGTTGCTCCATCTGAGTGGAGTAATTGACACCAGAATGTGACATTTTTCAGTCATCATCACAGATGCATCTGTGCTCATAACATGTCTGTGCTCCAGAGATGATTATAATTTTCTAGTCCAGGATAAAAGTCTTCCAAGCTGAACTTTGCACCTCCAGATGTATTTTATACTTATAACACAGAGCCCTGTCTCCTTTTCTCTTAAAATACTGGAGCAGCTGAAATCAAGTATGTAACCTAACAGTCCCTGAATTTTGATAGAAAAAAAAGTGCAATGAAAAGTACCTTTAGGCCATACATCCATTTCTATTTCTTACTTTTTCTATAGTCTAATTATTGTTTCAATCTGAAATGGAGGAAGGAGCATTCAGCTGCCATTTGGTTTGTGAGAACTACAAAACCTGACAACACCAAATAAAGCAGACATTAGTAGCAATCTGCCTCTAGTAAATACTTGAAAAATGTGTCTCAGTGTATTAGATTTCTAATCATAATATTTCCACTTACATAGCATCAGGCGGTGGTGGAGGAAAGTCTGAAGAATCCACGTCATCGTACACATCCTCTCCACAATCTGAAATAAGAGTGTTTAGAAGAATGAAACATTAATATGTGAAACTTGAGAATTGAATACATTGTGTTACAATCTATGGTATTTTACTGAAGTTGACAAGAAAGTAAGGCAAGTACTGTAGCCATTTACTGTCTATATTAACTGTGGATTCTGTTTAGCACAGTCTACTGTGCAACACCACCCAGTCTTTTCAGATTAAGACTCTTTAATAGTAATAACCAGTAGTCACTGAAATTTTAATCGTCTGAAGCTTAAGCAAGTTTTAGCACATGCTGGCTAATGCAATAGCCTTTAATCTTCACTTCAATTAATCTGTGTCCCACTGTAGTGCATCAAAATATATTTTTGGAGTTTGATTTAAATGTATATTTAAGGATTTCTATAGCACTCTTGCCAAACCAACATTGCTTAGAAGTGGATATGAATCCCATGTGTGTTAGGTTTTAGGCCATATTGCAATACAAAAGCAGCAAAAAAAATCTTAGCCTGAGAATATTCTTTGAATCACATTCAATGTATTTGTACAGAAGAAGCAATTCTTCAGCTCATCAAACCAACGCTTAGAAAAATCAGTAGGATATAAAAAGTTTACAACTCAGTCCTGAAAACAGCCTCAAAAATTGGAAGAACTTGCTTTTTATTCCATGACTGAGCCAATGGTTATGAGTATTTATTATTTTACAGGGATACTGCAAGTGATAGAAGTAACAGCAAGCATCTCTTTTCACTTTTGAAGTCTTTCACTGAGTGTTTCTTTCCAAGTGTATCTGTTCAAATTAAGTTCCAATAAAATGAAATAGTATAAATCTCACATAGGAAAATCACTTTAAATACATTAAATTGTTTTCTAGAGAGCCTACAATGTATAAGTATCTCCTTGTCTGTAGCAAATCAGTCACAATATTTGAAATTTGTTTACTGGAACTGGGTAAGCAATAGGAAATCCTGTTTCCTTCCTTGGATGTATTTTTGTGAATAGAATGATACAGAGCAGCGTATACAGAAAAAAGGATCAGGAATCAATACAGACACTGAACAATAGGCTATTAATTACCTTTTCCAGACAGGTTTGTTGAAGAAGATGTGCTGGGGGCGAGGAGGAGAAAGAAAGCTTATTAAGTATTTATATCACATTCACAGGCTTTTTTGTAACATAAGTAATTTAAAAAACTTGCAACACAGGGGCTACAAGTAATATCCAGACATTTTGAGATGCCACCGACACCAACAATGTTTAGGAACTAAATGTATTTTTACCACTGAATCAAAGTAAACTTTTTCAGAACTGAATGACTAACACAGGTGACAAAAACACCAGTTGCTGATCTGACCCCTAGGTAAGATGGGTAGAAGACAATTTTTGCATTTTTCTGTTTGGCAGATTATTCCTAAAATTTGGATTAACGGATCTAGATCTACCAGTTTATCTCAGGTACATTGTACTGATAAGCAAAGTACATTCTAACTGAGGATACATCAAATTTACGTCACCAGAGTGGCACAAAGATGATGGTTTATTTTGGTGCTCTTCATGGAAAAGAAAATTTGGCATATTTTAATTACCAGACTTTTGCAAAATACAGCTTGTTAAGAGAATCATTATGCAGGTGAAAAGAAAGCTCAGTGTTTTTGCAGAAAGTATCACCCTGAGCTGCAATTTTATGTATGATTCATTAGGCTGCTGTGAGGACATGTTAGTAGCATGTGATCAATGATTTATTAGAATTAGTTAATGTGCACTGTGATTTCCTGGCAGACTCTTACAACAAATTTCCATCATCTTCTGCCCCATTGCCTTTGGTTGTTTTTTCTCGTATACTTTTCTTTTTGTCATCTTTGACCTTTAGCCTCTTCAAGATTCCCCAGGACCAGATACCATTCTTATCTTCATCCTGTGATACAGACCTTTGGAGCATGCATGTGATTATCACAATGTAAAATGTAATGTTCTTTTTATAAGGCCCAGTTTAAATTATCCATTGATGCATATAATTATCATTAATGCCAACAATGTATATATATACCACGAAGTGAGGTCACTTACCCAAATGCTAAAATGCTAAACTAGAAATATGTGCATTATGTTACTTGTAGATACTGAGATGTATTTGTAGTGTAGATATTAATCTAGTGGCTTACTGTTTTCATGCTGTTACTCAGGTAGCTAGTAATTTAGTTTGTTGTTTTGATTTCAGACCTATTCTGTCTACTGGAGATTTGGAGATTTTCATCATTGCAACTTCTTTTGCTGACCTACCAAAATTAATTACAGAACAAACCTTCTCCAAAAGACAGAAGAATCTTTTTAGTTTAGATTCACAAATTCATACTGATGTATACTCTCTTCCTGATCATCCTAATACTTGCTAATTGTTACGTCTAATTAAAAAATACTAAATCCTGAAAACATTCTGCTAAAGTAGAATAAATAAATTATATAAAAACTTACCTTGCTATGGGCTCTCCATCACCAATTTCATCATAAATATCTTCATTGGAAGGAGGCAGAGGAAATGGGAACACATCTTTGACAGATCAAACAGTGAATTAATGCAAATATACTTAATATAATTTATATAAAGTATATTATATATATTTTATATATTTAATGCTGCAGAATAGGGTATTCATTACAGGCCTCTTAACTATATCAGATGTATGTGCAGTTTAGGCAATATCCTTGTAAATGGAATATTTCTGTAAACCAGCACAGTCTGTTTTTTAAAACAGTGATTTAGACTTATCCCAGCTGGGAATGCCATCCGTAGAATTTTAATGTGGCATTGCCAATCACAAGAGCATGGATACTGAATACAAATGCTGCTATACTGTAGTTAATGAAATTCTAAATGACTGATTCAGCCCAGACATTAGGATGACCTTTAAATTTTCATGTCTGACTCAAGTGACAACTGAAGATGTCAGACCAATACTCTCAGCAAGGGACAACTTGTCTTCATCCACAGAAGTCAGAGACAAGTGCAATGTAAGCTACCCACTTTGGTCTCAGCTTTGACCTTTGGGCCCCACCTCCTTCAGTGCAGGGTTAGCTCAGTTTGCATGTCCAACTCCAGCCACTGGTCAGAGTAATCACTGAAATCTGTTCTTAGCTGGCAGCAGCTCCATTCAGTACTGCCAAGGGATGCTTCTGCCATGACCAGTAGAAAACTCTAAGCTGAGAAGATGAGCTGTGCTCTTGCGATCAGCAGAGAATGCTATATAAATATGTAGGCTACTAAAGGGGAAACTGGGTTTGAATGTGTGTTCTTGACCATGTGGGGCTGCTGCATCTGGGACTCCAGTGTGTTACTGTAACTGAAGTCAACTCTGTTAGCAAAGTGCAGTTTTATATGGTAGCATTACTGGCTTTTTCAGAACTGGATTTCTCCCACAAAGAAACCCTTGCTCATCTTAGTATTTTGACAGCTATATCTGTGCTGTTTTTGGGATGATTTACGCACAAGAACAAAGTTCGGTCATCTGTCTTGCTAGTGATTCACATTATCTGAAGACAAAACTTCTGTCTCACTAAAGTTCCTGTAAATGGTGGGGAAGTTCATTTGGCCACTATACTTCCTTGTTTGTTGCCCATTAGCAAACATTTAATATGCTTATGGATAATTAGTGCATTATTTGGAAGCTGTAAGAAATACACACTAACAACTCCCCCAAAATGTATATGTAGAACTTACTTCCAGCTCCACTACTGTCAGCGCTCAGGCTGGAAAAGCAAACAAAAGACATTTTAGAGAAGAGCAGTCATCCTTGAGTAAAAGAAAACATCATGATCACCCATTCCTTTGCAGTTATTAATTGTAAAACTTTTGGCCTTGGCACTTGTGTCCATGTCAGCTGAACATTACAAGTTCTGCACTGAAAGCTCAGACATGTGCTTGTGTTTTCTATATGGGCAACAACTAAATGTGCATCTTCCTTTCTTTCTTTCACCACACATCAGTTTCTTACAGTCAAATAAGTAGTTTGTATTCTCACTAATGCCAAAAAAAATGTGTAATCTAGTTCAGACTTGAATTAGCTCCTAGACGAAGAAAAATTAACTCTTATTAGATTCCAGTAAAGCAGGGAAAATGCCCATTGCTTTTTGCTTTTTTCCTTGAAAATAAATAGTTATAAATCATAAAAGAGTATTTTAATACATCACTGAACGGAACTGAAAGCGGACTAAAAAGTTAATCAGTACAATCCTTAGTATTTTATAAGTAAAGCTGGAAAAAAAATTCTCAATTTTCACAAATCAATGTAAATATTTCAAGCCAGTGAAGGTGCACTTTTTCATATAAGCAGAATATTGTGTCCTAATTGTTAGCAATTGTTAGCAATTTCCAGTGAAGTGTCATTTTTCAATGAAATGCAAATTGATGTCTACAGCTACAAAGATTTAGTATATATAGAATATAACTTATATTCCTGTTGATGTCTTTAAACTAAAGTTTACAAAATCTGCCTTGGGTCATAGGATGATTTATGTTGGAGGGGACCTTAAGGAGTCATGTAGTCTAACTTGATGGGAATAAAAATTTAATCCAACTGAACACTACAGAGTGCATCTAGACCTTCAGATTCATTCCTTATGAGAGGATCTTCATGAAATGAAGTGTTAAAAAAATTAATTTATTGCTCAACTATCTTTCACTGGGTACAATTTAAGCCTCTAACTGCATGTTTCTAACATTTCAAAGTTTCCATGTTAGCCATGTTCTAATAGTAGTTGAGAAAGCCCTGTGAGGTTCACAGTAGCTGAGATTATTTCCAGGTTAGAGTCTTAAAATTATACATCAAAACAAGTTATTTGTTAAACTTTTGTGCCAAGAACTCCTGAAATACAACAGCCATGATCACTTATTAAGTTTGGAATATTAGCAATACTGCTGATAATGAGATAATACTATTTGGTCAAGAGTTTTTTTTAGAATGGCATTCTTACAGTGGTTTCAAAACATGTTGATATGTGTCAGACCTTCCAACAATTCATGCTCATGAACTGAACAGAATGCTATTAATCACTAGAGAAGATAAAAATGTCAAAATACAGCTTAAAGGATTTAATGAATCTGAGCCAGTCATTCATCCTTCCAAGTTCCTTGGAATACACTATTGTTTTAGTACACAACAGTGTTGGTATTAATGTTTGCTTTTGAATTCAATAGATTTTCTAAATTCCTTGCATTGAGGTGGTTAATTATAATTCTTGCCATAGTGAAAAGGGTTGGCCAAAGATACTTCTGCAATGAAGTAACTATTGCTGAGGTTACCTTAAATGTAGAAAAACTATCTCAAGTCTCCTGGCTAGGTCATGATGCTATGAGACCAATGTGCAGGGAGGAAAACTGATATGGAGCAACCTGGCAAAGTATCAGATTGGTTGCTTAGGAATGCCAGCCTGAAGGCAGACTTTTCCAAGTTCTGTTTCTGGAGCTCAGTGGGGATGTTCTATCAGCTGAGGATCAGCTGCACCCAGCAGCCAGCCAGCTGCAGTCCTTTTATTCCAGGCAGGCCTACTAAGTTAAGGAGCCTAATGGAAAGCAGTGAAAGCAGTGTAATGGCTGTCTCAAGATGGTTTTCCTACATACTGAAATTCTTTACACCCAAATGCAGATCACTTATCCCAGGCTTTGTGTTTCTGCACAGCAGGACATGTAGTGGAGAATGAGCACTGGTTTGTAGCATCACATTTCAGAAGCAGGCTTTTATGTGAGGTCTGGTAATGGAGGGTACCACCATCATGCTGGGCTATGTGGTAGCCTTGACTCTTGTCACAAGGTTACTAGGATATTTCCACTCCTGCAAACTTGATCTTCTGCTGGAGGTGGCACTTAATGAAGTGTACCAGGAAGATGTTAGCTGCAGATCTGTTTGACATGAAAAAGATGACACATTGAAGTATAGAGTCTGCAATGAAGCACTGCATTGCAAATGCATGTGAGACTGTGCCACAGAGAATAAGCTTCTGGTGAAGCCAAAAACAGTCAAAAAGCTCATACTCATCTCATGGAATTTGAGAGGCCTTACTTTCAGGATTAAACTCATTAGCCACACTTTCCTGAAGGGCCATCCTAGACTTGATTCCAGAGGTCCCTTCTCTTCAGAAAGAGATGGGTAGTTAAGACTTATGGACTCACACTAAGGCTTATGAAAGCAATGAGGGTGATCAGGAGTTCCCTGGTGCAGTGAATTGCTTTTAGAGTCTTTTATTATTTCATGCTAGAAAAAGGACTACATGACTTCAAAAGGCGGAATGAGAGAAAAGAGGGAGTGAAGAGAACTACACTTCCTGCCAGTGATTTGTGATCCTGTATGGTTTGCAATTTGTTCTCTTTTGGACTGCAATAGTGTAGGTCCTCTTCCAATAGTATAAATTCCTCCTGAAAATGAGAGCTTACAGATGCTGGATTCTAGAATTCATTTATGTTCCTCTAACCAATTCATTTATGTTCCTCTAACGAACTTACATGTTTCTTATACAAATGGCTGTTCCATGACAAGAGTTGGCTTTGTTGTTGTAAAATTTCCCCTGGCTAGGCTGACTGGGATGAATCATTTGTTTCTTTTCAGATATTCCTTATACATACCTCGTTGAGCTCTCCTCCTGTCCAACATCATCATACACTTCCATGTCACTCTCTGAAAATTTCACATCAGCTCCAGTAGGTGTTTGTTGCTTTCTTTTCAAAGAATCATAATCAATCTCTACCATGGTTGTTTTAATGTATCCACCTAAACGAATGAAATCATTAGGCAGAGACTGTTTTGAAAGGTCATGGTAAGGGAATGAGTTTAACAGAAGGTTCAGAACTGAATTTTTTTAATGAGTTTTGAAAACTTTCAAAGAAATATCTCATTCCAAGCAGCCTAAGCTTGACTCTCCACCTGTCAACACAAATACAAATCTCAGATCTGTCTCCCCACTAAACCTTCCTCAGGTGGTATCCAGTTAATTTCATCCTTATTTGCTTCTCAGCTGTCAGCTCAGAATTTTCTGTGCAAACTCCAGGAATCATGAGGCAGACTGTTTCTCAATTAACCTTGGAACCACTGCAGTCTTGTGCATATTTTATGTCATCAGAAGACTTGGCCTAAGATGATGAACTCTGTGTTTCCTGAGGAGCATTTTAGATAGTCTTCTAAAAAATCATGCAAGTGTTTTTCATAACTTTGATTGACTTAATGGATCAGTCTTTTTTAACCCAGGAACCAGATCATCAACCCCTTTGTCACACTCACAGATTCACTGATCTGTGGATATTTATGCAATTAGAGAAACATCTCTAGAGAAATCAGTTAGAAACTTTCCATAGGAGTAGGAACAAGATAAAGACTTAGAACTGGTCCTTACAGTCTCTATTTCTATTTTAGGAACACCAATGTTATGATTAAATAGAAAGACATGAAAAAAAATGTGATCCTTGTTACTTGCAGGGTGCCAAATTCTGATGCTATTTCAAAGCTGACAGGGAATTGCATCTCAGTGTGTCAATGAAGGTCCCAGCGTATTGTACCTGACTTATTCTAGTGCCTATAAATGTGACATCATGTTTTGCAATAACTTCATAGTATGAACTAAACCTTTCATGCTAGCTGGGTACAGGAGGGTGAGTTGTGGTAATTACTTTGGTGGCCAGTGAATCAGCCTTGGTAAGGCTACTCTTTGGTGTAATGCTCACGTTTGCTGTTATATAGTGAAAATATTCAGGAGCACAAGGAAGAAACAGAACTTACAGCATCCTCCTATTCTACCGAGCCACTTTCCTTCTGGGTTGTCTGTGAGGCGAATGATTTCAATCTTATCCCCCTGTTTGACAGTCAGTTCATTCTTCCCTCCCTTGTAGTCAACACAGGCTCGTGCCTGATGAAGAACTTCAATGGGTCCCACTAACTGAAGAAAAGAAGCAATAAAATAAATCACAGGTGTGGAAAATGGAGATTTTTTTTCCCCAGACATTCAGAATAAAAGAAAAAACAGTTATGATAATTACTTGTTTCATTGACATTTAAAGTAGTCTAGGCAAATAAACAGAAAGGTTTTGTCCTGCCCCTAGTTTAAATTAATAATCAGAAATTAAAAGAGAGGGGAACAGCATGGAAGTAGACCAGTTGAACTGACTGGCAAAATCACAAAAATACAAAGACTAAAACCAACTAACTAACTGTGGAGCCTTTCATGAGTTTACAAAACAGATGTATTTAATTCCAGTGCACATCTCCATGTATTTCCAGCAGAACCACTCAGCAAATCAGAATCTTTTAGGTTCTCTAAGACCTCTAAGATCATTGAGCTCAACAGAAGAAATTTTTCCTAATATCCAAACTAAACATCCCCCAGCACAACTTGAGGCTATTTCCTCTTGTCCTAATCCTGGTTATCTGGGAGAAGAGACCAACCTCCACCTCACTACAGCCTCCTTTCAGGTACATGCTGGGAGTAATAAGATCTCCCCTGAACCTCCTTTTCTCTGGGCTGAACACCCCAAGCTCCTTCAGCTGTTCCTCATAAGATTTGTGTTCCAGACCCTTCACCACTTCCACTGCCCTTCTCTGGACTCTTTCCAGCATGTCAGTGTCTTCCTCATAGTGAGGGCCCCAAAACTGGGCACAGGATCCAAGGTGTGGCCTCACCAGTACCAAGTACAAAGGGACACTCTGCCCTGGTCCTGCTGGCCACACTATTGCTGATACAAATCACATGGGTAAATTTCGTTAACATTAAAGAATCTGTCACATAATCCCTTGTGTTTACTATTCTTATCTATAAATGGTCTTGCAAGTACTCACAAGAGGTGATCACACTGTTTACTGGAGTTTAGGGTTTGCTTTGCGGGATCTCTTTGTTACGTTATGAAGGAACCATTTTGGATTGTAGTATTTGTGACTTTAAGATATATATGACCTTTCAGAGGCATGTTGCTCTTGCCAATTAGAGACTACCTCAGGAATATAGGTGTGTAGGTGGCAAATAAATGTGAAAGAAAATTTCAAATAAAATATGTTTGTTTGCATTTAAATTTCATAACATTCCTTAATGGCTTTAGGACAGCAGTCTGGAAGCTAAAAGCATTCTATGCACTAATACCTACAATTCACAGGAGAGGTTAACCCACTGTTACTAACTAAGTGGTTCTTTAAAATTTGCTTATCAGCTCATGCCAGTCTCTCCACATCAGACCAAGGCCTCAATATGAGACAGTCAGCGTGGCTTTACTGTGTACTGAGTGTAATAGGAAATGAAACAAAGCTGCCCACTATGTACAATGACACTGAAAACAGCACAGTGGAGTATTGTGAACAGACATTAGTTTAGAGAAACTGACTGGCTGATCTGCAAACTATGGGAGCATGATGACCACCAGATATATAAATATTTATAACAGAAAGAACTGTCTTATCCTTTAGCCTGAGACACAGACTTTAGCTCCCCTTCACATGCTCTTTTCACTTCCTCCCCATTTAAGCTGAATATCCATTTAGGTACCTTTATGCCAAGTGCAAGGGCAATATGCTGCAATTTTGAAATCTGTCAAGGGCTGGATACTTTTGTATCTGACTACAGTAAAGCAAGTAACACTAAATATGTATGGGATACAATTCCCACTTTATTAAAGACTTTTGATGCTATTCTAGTGATGCAAATCACTAGAAACAGAAAAGTGAAAACAAATGGTTTTAAGGCTTTATATATATATATAAAGTGTATTTTGAACTAGACAATGGTAAATAATCCTTCTCACATGTCTTTGGCTAGGTTACAAAAAAAAAAAAAAAAAAAAGACTTACTTTGAACTTCTTCCTTAATTCCAGTTCTTTCTTTTCTTTTTCCTTTTGTTCTCTTTTCTCCTGCTCCATTCTTCTCTTATCTTCTTTGTTCTGCTTCTTCTCTTTTTCCCTTGATGATCTGAAAGTGCATTGCCAGGAATGAATGTGTGAAGCAAATCTTCCCTGGAGCTTCTTTACCCAAGGTTGATAAAAAATTACATGTGATGAAAAAAGAATTCTCCAAGAGAAATGAAAGCTATGGATTCTAAACCCTAGTGAAGCATCAACAAATAGGGTAAGGAACCCTTTATTACATGTATAATTTAAAGTGGCTGTCCTTAAGAGGACAGCACACCAGGAAAGATTACCTGGAAGTAAAATACCAGCTCTACATGTGTGTGTCCAAATATCCCTGAGCTAATTGTGTTGAGCAAGCTTAGAAACCGGTAGCAGTTTCATTCCTTTTTTAGGATAGTTTTGGTAAGCTGACTGAAGATCATTTGTTTGGGTTATAAAACGTATTAAAATCATTTATTTGTAAAGGGATACTAAATTTTTGCTTGAAGTCATTCTAAATCTGAAGTATTCTACATCTATTACTTATTCAAAGAGAATAAGAGCTTTACTTTGGCTATTGTTATGCAGTAAATCCCATACATTTAGATTTTACCAGGGAAAAGAGTCCTCAAAGTAAAGGACTAAATGGAAGAAGAATAAGACAGCTTGTATTCTGGCTAGTGTACTCAGGTAATGAAAATTGTCAATCCGGCCTCCCACAGCAGTTTGGGCAACATTTATCTGAAAAGCAGGAAAAACAACCACAACAAAAGATCTATCTGGTACCATGGTACCTTGGGCTGAGCTTATTTTTCCTCCTAGACTGTAATTCCAACGGGTGGTTCAGACATGTTCCTTAGATCAGAAATCAGACTTCTGTTACCACAATCACAGTAACCACATCAGTTCACTACAGGAGTTTTTCCAGCATGGGGCATGGCAGATCTAACTAGAAAAGGACCTTAGAACAACTGGACTTTCTTTAGGTAAAATAAATGAACACGATAATCCCTGGCAGAGACTGCTGTGGAATGACACTTCTGTGCCAGATGAAATATCTTTGTTAACAAAGATAGTAATAAAGGTACAATAGGTTATAGAGTTTAAAATTACTACCTGATGTCATTTATGTCTTCATACATCTCTACATCACCTTCTTGGTCCTGAAAAAAACAAACAAAAAAACCCCCAAAATAACAACAAAAAAACCAACCGAGTTTTAAATGGTCGAAGTACAATTGGAAAGAGATGAAGAAACTGAGCCTGCTAGGTAAGCTTCATATAAACTGCATGAAAAACAATTATATCAAAATGCAAATAAAAATTGCTTTAATCTTTCCAAAACAAGTTACTACGTTATACAATCCCACTATTCTTTTTTCCCCTTCCTTTGTTTTTACAATACCACAATTATGAAGTTCTGGACTGTTACAATCACACTAGCGCACTACTTAATCCAAAGTGGACATTTTAATTGCAAAGTTAGTCGTGGAAAATCTTCATCTGTGCCGATGGTTGCACTGCTATGATGAAGGTGTCAGAGTTTGCACTATTTAAACTGGAATGCTAAGGATCTAAATGAGGCTCAGATTAGGGCCCAAGAGACAGTTTTAGTCCTCCTACAATCAGGTACTTAAGCATACCAATATAAAACTATGCTTAACTGAAATATTAACTGAAATACTCTATTAATAGAATGCAGCAGGATCCTTGTTTCTGGAAAATTGTAGTATTAGAAGGTGTAATTTGCCTCTTTTTTTTTTTTTCTTTAATAAATTTTTGGTGTCTAGCCATCTTTAAAAATTAGTTCTGGTTTATTCTGCTTACCTGAATTTATTTCTGTCCTTCACAATAAGTAAGTGCTTCTATAAATTACTGTCAATATACTGGATCAATTTGGAAATAATTTTTAATGTATTTAAGGGGTTTTATTAAATTTGGAAGTTTTTTGCTAAAAATGATAGGTTTATCTTGGAGAATAGCACTTACCCCCTGTGTACTTCCATGACCTATAGGAGAAAAAATAAAAACAAGGTATTTATTTTTTCTTGTCCAAAAAAAATATAAATAGGGTATTTATTTTTTCTTGTACACAAAACAATTAATTGTAACATTAACTGTTTTAAACTGCTAAAAATACAAGTGATGTTAACCAGAAGTATTTGCAACTCCAGGTTTTTAATGAGGTTGTGAATGCAAAAATCAGAGTTCTTCTAAATTTCTTTTGTAGTACACTCCAAAACAAAATTATCTACAAAGGGCATATTTAACCCTGTATTTTAAAAGTGGAAAAATTGCTTTAAAGATTCTTTAGTGACATTGAAAAATTTACATATGCTATTTGTTTACAAAAATGCGTATTTATATGAGAAAGTCGCTGTTAAAAACCTAAGAAATCCAAACAGACCTTAAAGAACTTGTCTGCACCAGCCCCACAGCTGAATAAGGAGGCCAAAGGCTTTTTGGCTAAGGCCATGTCTGCCCCAGGCTGCAGGAGAAGAAGCTCTGTGACTCTCCTGCTTCCTCCTTAGTCTGCAAGGAGTTAGGTAAGACAAGCTCGGTTTCAGCTCCAATCCTGCATTGCTGTCTGTCAGGGATGGCCAGCACACTAAATGATGCACACTGTGCCTGGCACAGACTGACTCCCCCCAAGGAGAGATCAGAAAGCAGATTGAAATTCTTTGTGTCACAATCTGCTTCTCTGCTGCTCCTGGTACAACGTAGTGACTCACTGCCTCTAATTGAGGCAGACCACAAAGCAACATTAAAAGCACAGTCAATAACTTTTATTTTTTTTTTAGCAAGTATAAAACAGTGCCTCCTTCACCAGACCACACAGCTTCAGGTCTGAAAGAGCAGCATTCATTTTGGTTCAGATTTAAAAATCTGGCAATGTACAGTCCTGACATATTTCTAATGAGGGGGAAAAAAAAAAGAAAAAAAAAGAAAGGCGGGATGGAGGTAAGAGGGAAGTTATTTAAAGCAGTTCCTGAAAGTCTGTCATATTAATCATAGAACAGTAAAACAGTTAGTGTTATGAGACAACCATCTTCACCCACAAAACTGCAGAACCAGTGTATTAGTTACAAAATCATGCATAGAAAACAATTTTCTTTTGGTTTTTTTATAAATACAACCTTCTTACAGCTTTTCATAGTTGTCACTGATTAAAATGCATGCATCTTACCCTGTGAAACAAATTCCACATCATCATAATTTTCTTCATTTTCTGGATTTCTGTAAGTATGAAAAAATGGACATGTGAAATCTATGAAGATGGTTTTATGATTATATTTTCATTCATCTTTGTCCTGTTGTGTTTTCCATCTATTTTATACAGTGGCTGGACAGTCTATTGAGCCCTATATCCTACTTGGTAGAAACAAGATTCTCTAAATTGTTCTTCCTGACTGTGTCTTGGGGTTTCAGATGGGGACACCTTGATCTTGAGGTTGTTAGAATCACACTATCACACACAGATCAAAATGAGCCAAAGGCAGATAGATACCAAGAAAATGAGTGTGATATGAAGAATATAATCAGCAGATGGGCTGACAGAATAAAAAAAACTGTTGGTCTTTTTAACTATCCTTGTAGGTGCAAGCTTCTTACACACTACGCAAGCACAATGCCAGACTTTTGTGCAGTGTTAAATACAGCTCTGAGACTAGTCATTGGCTTGTGGGGCTTAAAGTCTAAACAAGGGACAAGAGAAGCAGCGGTGTAAGGATAGGCCAGGTAAAAGGTCTCCGATGTTAGATTTAAAAGTGCTCTCCAGCTGAAACAACCAATAAATTGAGAATATAACTAGTAATATCAGGGGCTTTTAAATTTAGTATGTCTTGTAACAGCTGAAAGAAAATTAGGGCTGACAGTGATCATCATGGAAGGGTAATCAAAAAAAGGACTTTGAAGCAGAATGGGATGTTCTAAAATTGGCCTGATAGCAAAAGCACAGAGGCAGGTGAAAGCACAGGTGTCAGCACCCAGGCACAGGCTTTCAGTGGAGGGGAGACCCCAGAGGGCACACAAGAATCGAGGACCAGAAGGGCCATCTGGAGATGAATTTCGTCGATCCCTAAAGGTGAAGAAGAGGATACCCTGGACGGCTGTTGCAGGTGCTGTGGCCTTGAGGCTGGAGTGATGCTGTCACTGTGGCCACACTGACTCATTCACTGTGTTAGCACACGCCTCTCTAACTCTTCCTGCCTGTTGTCTGCTGCTCTTTGCAGTAACTGCTGGCCAGAGAGCAGCTCCTTATTTGTGCTCAGCTTGATTCCAGTCAATTTTGACATGGGACTGAAGTACTTATAACTCTTTGTCACCAGGAGGTTCCACTTTTGTATGCAACTCTTCAAAGAAGTATAAAGAAAGGAGCCCCGTATTGACAGAGGCTTCTCAGAGTTATCACGAGGCCACAATGTGTCAGTGATGCAGCTTCACAATCAGGGTTGAGCTCAGTTCCTCTGGTTTGCAAAGATGCTTCCTGGGCTATTGACTCATAGGCATGACTCTCCTTGCTCTCTTACCCCAGAAAAATGCAGGGTAAACCTTCAATTATTTATTGCAACTGGTTTCTTACTTGTGTATGAAGTCTTTCAACCGGTCTGGAATAAAAACTCAGTTTGTTCAACCCCCCTCTCCCCCCTCCCCCCTGCCTCTCCAACGGGGCAAAAAAAGCGTTGTTATAGATAAGGCAATTCAGGGAAACAACTGAATAGAGGAAAGGTTCAAAGTAATAAAAACTAATTCCAGGCAGGCCAGGGCCAGGGCAGGACAAGGAAAGTAGCGAGACTTCACACCCCTAGAAACCTGGGACTACTGCAGCCTTCATCTGAGGCTGCATGAGCAAAGTAATAGGCAGAAAAAAGGTGAAACAATAAAGACCTTGAGGTTTACATTCACTTACCTTATTGCAGAGCTGGGCTTGATGTTTCTGGGAGGCAGACTGGGAGCTTCCATAACCTCCAGGTCTGGGTGAGAGATTGGTTTAGGGGATGGAAACTGTGTACCGCGATCTTGTAGAGGTGCCAGTGAGGCAGATAAGAAAGATCCTGTCAGTTTGACACCTTCATTTCCAGGTACTGAAATAAAGAAGAACAGACTGAATGTATGAAGCTGAGGATATAGCCTTGCTATGTATTACATGAAGTATTGGATAAAATATCAGTACTGAGCACATCCTAGTGCAAATATATTTTGTTGAACCTGCTTCTTATATATCTTTGTTGTATTATCTTACAGGAGTAGAGAGGAAGAGGCTCTGCATAGAAGAATGTACTGTCTGCACAAGGTCTTGTAAAAGTTTTTGCCAAGACACGAACAAGACGCAAAAACTTCACAGGCCATCCAGTGTATATAAGTGCCTGTGCTTTGAAACTAAATTGTAGTATAATTCCACAGTTTGCTAGAAAAGACTAGCTGCAGAATTTTATGTGAGTACTTATGCACTCTTGATGACTTTTGCTTGCTCAGAGTTTTAAGGGATGAGTGATGAAAAGATATTTGGGTACTTATTAAGAGATGTACATGTCCCTGAACATCTTCAAATATGTTTGTAATGGAAGTTGTAAAAGGCTGGACTTAATTTTCTAGCAAGCCTCCATTAGAAAAGTGGCAGTTTAAGAAGCTGCACAGAAGCTACCCCCTCAACAGCAAGGTGTAGTCTTAAAAAAATGATGCTGCTGTGCACCAGGCATAGAAGCTCTAATTTCATGAGTGAGCTGGTGTTCATGTGTGCTGCACTGAGTTCATGCTCCCTGTACAAGCCACAACCAAACAAAAGCAACCACTGCTTTGAGAGTTTATATTGGGAGAACTTATTCAACAAAATAAAATTAAATCACTTCTTTGGATGTTATGATGTTAAACCTAGAATTTTGTCTGAAGGACCATTAATGGATTAAAAGCTACCCAGAAAGAATTGTCCTCAGCCACATGGGGGGAAGCCAAAGAAAATCCAAGGAGGAGGAGAACAGAAGGAAAAAGGAAACTCAGAGTTCAGTTAAAACCAACTGCAAGTGAAAAAAAACCCCTTTCTCTTCTGGAGATTTTCTTTAAGTTCACACCTGTAGAGCTGAGATTAAAATCTTGTCAAGAAAGGAAATGTTCACACCACTGGAAAAAAATGCCTTAAACATAGTACAACAACAAATACTTAGTAATGTTTAATATCAAGACATAACGTTAAAAAAACTACTTAAAGAGCATTTTTTAGCTGCTGAGGTGTCTGAAATCCTAACTTTGGGATAGACAGGAAAAGGGGAATTGGTAACATTCCGAAGGACCTCTCATGTGCCACATGGAAATCCAAGTGAAATCACAAAGCCTTGACAATTTGTCTACTTGCTACCAAAGAACTCAAAAATATATAGATAAGTTTTGTTTCATGGCTGGATAGACCAACCTGTCCACATATATATCAACAAGAGTGCATTTGAAACCTGTTAAGTTCCTTCATTACTTAAACAGCAAAGTACTAATAGCCCCAACACTGCTGATTAAACATGTGGATTCTTTTGTGGTTTTGTTAAGGAGTACATTTCTTCATTCAACATTTATGCTTGCATTTGAGTAAAGGCGAACTTTGCTTAAACGAGCCAAAGTTACACAACTGCTCCTGTATTTGGGTCTCTGAGGATGATGTGATAGCACAGGCTTTATTCATCCACAGTTTTCATCAGCTATAATCTCTTATTGTTCTGAAACCCCTTATAAAAATGAATAGCACTTACAATTTAAACATATATCTTCAGCTGAATTCTAGATTCTAGCCAAAGAAAGCAACCAGAAAGAGGGTTTATTCTTTCTTCTGTTTTCTTTTTTTTTTTCTTTTCATAAAAGCCATGCAAACTTACCCTCAAATTTATTTTTGTGTTTTAACAGGTGTCCTGTATAGTTTTTCTGTGGTTAGATTTTTGCTGCCCTTACTGAGTGTTGTGTATATGCACAACATGCATAAAAGCATTATATCATCATACTGTTTTACTTCATTGTGATTAGTTTGTAGGACTAAGGTAAAAATTCTGCCCAAGTCTCAGTGCATAACACTTCTCTCATCTTATATGCCTTGGAAGCCAAATCCAGGCAATAGGAAACTGGGCCAGGAAAGGACACCACATGCATTTTAGGTTCAGTGCTTATTTTTAAGTAAAAGGGCTGAGCAATTTGTTGTTCTTGTGTACATTGCTGTAATCTAACAGTAACTAAGTGATCATCATAATAACAGAAATAATGCTTTTTATTGTCTAACTGTTAGAACAGACTCTTCTCTGCCTTTAAAGTTCGAATTTGCTACGCTTAGTCTTAGACTGAGACTGATGTAGGTGTAAAATGCTTTAATTTGAATACTGAAAATAGTGGGATGAATTAGGGAGGAAGGTGACAAGCAGTATAAAAAATATGTTATAACCAGGCCTGATTGGGCAAAGCTATAATAAAATTTTAATAATGTGGTTTTTCCTATTTCAGTGGAGCATTTAATTTTGATTCCACGTTTTTGTTTTTTTTTTT